GCCAACTGCGTTTCCTGGAAATATGCATTTTGGCATCGAGTACTGAGAAAGTTAATTGTGTAGCGGATTGATACACTAATAATTCTTGTCTGGGGTGTGCGATAGACTTACCTCCACGTGGTGCACCCTGGGCAACGTATACTCGTACGGCAAAAAAGTCTTTTAATCGGCAGTTGACTTCTGAGTTCAAAATACCATGGCACGACTGCTTGTCATATTCGACCGCTTCCGCAGTACTCATCTTACCCTTTTCTCTGTCTTTGTGTCTGTCTGCCTCTTTTACATCTGTGAATCGCTCTTCTGTTCCCCACCCCTCGACTTTCTGCTACTTTGATGAACCTTCCCTCTGTGAAGCCCGAAGTCAATTAAAAGGCTAATGATAGCTATCAAAACGCCTGCCATTTGAAATAAATAAATAATTCTTGTCTGTACTCAGAAATCTCTATTTCAAGTTCCTTTATGTTTGGAAAGATTCCAAGAACTAGCTAAGCTGCAGCAAAGCCATAGAGAAAACAGACGTATCCCGTGGAACACGTTTATTTGGGATGTGTCCTGTGCATGATGTGTGTAGATAAGGCGCTTAGGCATTATTTTTAATATGGAGGGTTTGATAAACCAAGCGAGGACTATTGATTGGCAGTTAGTTGTATTCTCCGCACTTTCGACCGTACTTTTTCCCTACGCGAAGTTTTAAGTCCGCACCTTTCAGCCTGCCTGAAAATACTTTGTTCAGAGGTGTTAGTGTTGTGTGCTCCATAAATGTCAGCGGTTTTGAAATGGCAATAAAAAATTCAAAATTAATCTATTAATAATATTTAATATTCTTCTATTTCTGGATGTGGTCGAATATAAATTCTAGTCCATTTAAAGAAAGAGACGTGACTTTTTCCGAATGTCCTTAAAGTGAGCTAATTGAAACCCACCTTCATTATAAACCAATTCAGCCCCTCCAAAAAAACTCCGGGTGGAGGTATTTTATGTGCAACACCCTAGTCACATTGATGTTTAGATCTCCTCCAAACTTGAAGTACCTCCCAAGGGAGGGTCTAGTTTTAATTCACAACCAGGCCTAGGCCGATCAATGTACCACCCGGTCTTGTGTTGTTTAGTACTGTTATTCTGACAAATGGAAGTTCTGTCATCAATTTTTTCAGAGGGTGGTTAACTGCGTGTGGGCTGGTAACCTCTGTTTTGTAGTGATTTACTATAGCATATACCGTAAACGTTGATCAGAACATTCTTTCTGGTTCGATCTTAAAGCAAACTTTGTCATATTTTTTTTGTGAATTATAGCCTATGGAGTTGCCAATACAGCATGCAAGAGAGGATCTCATCAGACTTAAGTTTCATGAATAGATATTTTGTTGCTGTTTAAGTACCTAAATGACAATTTGGTATCAAAACCAGTACTACGGATTTAGTTGTAAGAATTTTTTACCATGAAACCCGGTAGTGTATTACTGCACCAATCGGCCTTGACTTATGCTTAGTTATCTCCATGGTAAAACCGAAGTTAGCTAATCTACCTAAACGATATAGTGACTTATGACTCGAAATAACTTAATTTGGGTTATGCACGTTGTGGTGTCTCCCCCTACATAGAAAACTGGCACAGAACGATGACACTAAATACTGTTTTGGGTATGTTGACCCTGTAATGACAAGTGTTTTTGATTGGTCGAGAGTTCAAAGCACACATGACCTCATCACTGTCGCACGTTACAAAAAGTTCGAGCGCTCATAAGATTCCTTAGTTTAATTGCCATGGAATTATGAATTGTCCATAACGTGAAAACTAGAATGGGCTAGTCCTTTAGTTCACACTTTTTGGTGATTCTTGACAATTTTCTTGCTGGGTTAATGCAATTAATGCTTTGATGGTTTTAAGGAAATCCACGTTTGCATACAGAAACGGGCACATGACATCATATTTATAAGTTACGTTACACGAAAATACTAACAACACCAGCTACTAAAATATTAAGGCGGATTGACACATTATTAAAGACCTTATTTTAACGAGAAGCATCAGTGTCAAATTCAAACAGTTGTGGTAGAAACTGAAAAGTCAGAGTCGGGGGAGGTGGAAGATAAGAGGTATTTATTTATATGACTAAAATGGTGGAAAATATCAAATGTGATAGAGGAAAGAGTTAATATTTCAACAGTCTCGTATTTCTCAGGTACAGAATATGTGGTAGTGTCGAAATCTCCGCACTCTCCATCAACTTCATAGGTCGGAAAGGTGTAAACCAAATGCCTGAAATAGAGAGGCACACTGTGATGTGTATAGAGGCGACACTAAATGAATATGCCAAGCCACTCATTCTGACAATAGGGACTGATGGTAACCGTAGATCTGCAAAGGCCTATCACTCGGTCACTGAGAGAAAAGCTTGAACATGCATGTCCGTTGCACACTTAAACCAATTTAACCATAACCTTGATAACTACAATTGGGTTAATAACAAAGAAGATGTAGTTGATGGAGTTATTTAGAGTTCTCTCAAATAACCTGCAATTTTCCTGATTCAGCAGTTAAAGAAACTGATAAATTTTGGGATAAGCGAAGTTACAAAGGAACAAGGTACTGAGTAAAATAGAACCCAGGAAATAAAACTTGAGTTAGAAGGTCAACTCAGTGAGCTTCTTAATAATCTAGGAATGACGGCAGTGGTCCAAAAACAAACACATCTGATGGCCGGCTTTAATGTATCTATTTTGTCTGGACAAGTTAAACAATTTGAAGTTTCCCAAGCGAATGGAAAGGATTTCTAAGACTGCTGGCCGAAGGGCAAGAAAAATATCTAACCAGAAGTGCTCAAATAAATGAAAGCAGGATTTTGAAATAAATCCTGCTGAAACAGCAGCACTACATGTGAAAGGGGAGCAGAGATCTTTCCTCAAAACCGAAATGGTTGGAATATGCGGTTTGGGTGGGGGGGGG